TCTCTCTCTCTCTCTCTCACTCTCTCTCTCCCTCTCTCTCTTCCTCTCTCTCTCACCCCCTCTCTCTCTTTTAGTTTTCGTGGGGGGGTTCTCTTCCTCTTTACAGAGGTACTTTGTCATAACCCCCGCTATCCAGAAGTTCTCTATCGTTACACAAACAGGGAAAGTCTCAAGAAAGTTAAAATGTAATACTTTGAGTACAAATTATGCGAAGTACATATTTCACAATCAAGAAGGGCTAAATCTTTTTTTCATGCATAAAACTGCAATATACCATTAGTAGTAACTTTAGTTGCTAATATCATACCAAATAGGTAACACAAAAACTGATCTAAAAATTATTTGTTTAAATGTTAAATTAGGACAAAACCACATGATCCGGGAGCATAAAAAGTATTTTTGCTGTTATAACAAAGTAATCTAGCATAATCACCTAGTTGATAACCTTTTTGTTCCCAAAATTAGAGTACAAGAGGTTTGTTTGTATGAGAAAGAGAATGTGTGAAACTGTGGCCTTGTACCTGGCAAGCGCTATTCTTGACGCAATACAAACCTGTTGTTATTCTATTCATTTCATTGACACCGACGCTCTACTTCTCTCGCCTCGCCCAGAGTGAGCCAAAGCTTTGGCAAGCAACAGTTTTCTGTGGATTTCTTTTTGTACCGAAAGGATTTGTAAAGCTTCTTGACCTATTTATGTATTGTAGTGATGTGATCATGAAAACAAGAATTCTGTGTTAATATTCACCTGGACTTGTAAAAGACCCGTTCACCCAACTGCGTCGTTATGGATCTAGGAAAGGCAAAGCTAAGGAAAGTCGGTATTAATAATCTCCTTTCAGGTAAGTTTATAAGTGTTTTGTTATTGGTTAATTTTAATCAAAAGATAGATCTAGATGTCTAGATCTAGATCTAGAGATTTAAGTAAAGTGAAATTGAAAGGAGTGTCATCATCATTTTCAGTGTAGTTTAACTTGTTTGTAACTTTCCCGTAACTTACCAAAAAAGTTATTACTAGATAAAATAATCTAGATCTAGATCTAGATCTACGAGGTGTATGAGTATGATTAGGCCTTGGCCTACTATGTGATCATGGTGTGTAGATCCTGTCTATTTGCTAGCATTATCATTGACTTATTTTATTGCTTTCCCACCGCATGATGTAATTTAGAGCAGTATCTGTCTTTCATGTCTTGCTGAAGGCAGGATAGAATCTATATGCAGCGAGAGTTGACTAAATCTTGTGTCTTTTGACACTTTGTGACTTCATTCTGAATTCTGAGTCTTCAACTTCATTACAATTCTGCACTGGGTTCTGCACCAGCCAAGTGTTACCAAGTATCTACCTTATATAATAGGGAGTGTATACAGACCCGGTAACCGGGAATAAAGTCACAAAGTATACAGACCCGGTAGGGGAACTCTTTTGTGATTTCGGAAACTTTCAGCACCCTCTTGGCTCAGGGTAGAACTAGGTTCTTCTAGATATATGGCCTAGGTCTAGATCTAGACAGACAGATATAAATCATTGATCTAGTTTCGAGGCTAGCCTAGATCTAGAC